ACCATACTTAATAGTAAATTTCTTATTATAAAAGCCTTAAAGTGAGTCGCACGTGTGAGCAGTTCCTTAGTTCCTCTCATGTGTATTGCGTTTCTAGTTACCCTGAAAAGGACCGAAGCAAAGGTCTGTCGAAGGGTGAAGAACCAAACGCTATACTGCTCTAGGAAATGGGAGAGGAGAATGGATTCGCCGGAGAAGTCTCCAACGGAGAGGCAGCGGCGGCGCCGGTGAGTTGCTTGTGCACCTACGCTGACGAAGGTAGCACGGAGAGTCAGAGATACCATGCCGCACGGAGAACTTTGCTGGAAATGTTGAGGGACAGAGGCTACGCCGTGCCCGCCTCCGAAATCAACCTCTCTGTTCAGGAGTTCCGAGCCATTCACGGCCAAAACCCAGATGTCGAACGTCTCAGAATTTCTGTAGCTCATAAATTTGATCCTTCAAAACGGGTAATGGATTCTTGGGTTTCTTTCAGTTCTTCTTTTTTTTCCCTCTGTGTCACCATTTGGTATCTGATAAAATTAAAAGGGAAGTCAAGGGAAGCGGTCTTGGGATTTTTGAAGTTTCATAGTGCATTGCATTGTTTTAAGGTACTTTGTTGTCAGGTTATGTTTTTGGATTCTTTCAGTGGATGTATATGAGACTAAAGGTACAAGCTTTGATCACATCTAGTATTAAACTTTCTGGTAAAAAAAGGCCTTTTATTGAACTTCCTGAGCATGCATTCCAATATTTGTTCTTTTTAATAGTATTTCCAGCCAGTATTCTCGATCAGCTTTCACGCAGCTGGAGACTGATCTGTTACCGGTGGATCCAACCTCTGGGATTTGTATACCTGTATTTGTTTCTTCTGCTTCGTTTATTAGTTTGTACCATCATGTGTGAACAAATCTAACCTTAGAAGCATTTTTTAGTAAATAAGGTTGAACTGGAAGCCATCCTTATCATGCATACTTAGTCATTTACTGGTTCACTTGCTTGTTAATTACTGCTAATTTTAAATTATTTTCATTAGAAACAATGATTTATTGTTTTACATTGCATATGGTAAATCAAACTTTTGTTTTTGATGGATGTTTTATAACAGATTCAGGTTGTTTTCGCTGGTCCTTGCTTGGTTAAAGTTAGTGGGATCCGCTTCATTGCTGCTTCACTTCCTAACCGGGAGAGTTTAACTGGAGTTATATTAGTCTTGGAAAACCATATAACAAAACAAGCTTTGAACGCTTTGGACCTTTTCAAATTTAAAGTAGAGATGTTTCAGGTACAGTTTCTGACATGAATCATGTCTACTTTTCTGACAATCTAAGCCTATAGTAATGGGAATTTTTTGGTTTTGACTGTGGTCTTCATCATCATATTTGATTCCATGTTTTGGTTGACAAGCAATTTGACTTGAGTATTTTTTATTTCAAGTGGGCAATGGAACAAATCATTGTGCATCTTGGTACAGAAGTTCAAACTTCAAGCCTTTGATTATGAAAAGAGAGAGATCCTTGATTCCTTCAATTTTTATTGTTTTGAAAATTAATGTGACTTCTCAATGTTTTACCATCCACGGCTGAGATTTTGTAAACAATGTATGTATTTCTAAGTTGTTACAGCTTATGGGTAAAAAGGAACGAGATGGAGTTGGACTCTGTAAATTAGCACTGTGTAAATTAGCCAACAAGTAGAAATAAATTTGTCGGATGTTTAAAATCTAAATCATTATATGCCCTGACTCTCCCCTGATCTTATCTGAGCTGCTTGATTGTCAGATAACAGACTTGCTTGTTAACATTACGAAGCATGTGCTAAAGCCAAAGCACCAGGTATTGACAGAGGAGGAGAAGCAAAGGCTCTTGAAGAAGTATAGTATAGACGAAAAGCAGGTTTGTCTTGAGAGAAAAAAACTGCTCTGACGTCTGAAAATAGACATAGTGATGTTCAGTTTTTGTAACTTTTGTTTGTTTATTTTTGCAAGGGTGCTTTACTTTCTCAAATAAAGTCTCTAACCAGTTGCATTTTTGTCTGAATATGGATTTAATCCCAGCTTCCTCGACTACTAAAGAAAGACGCCATTGCACGATATTATGGACTTGAAAAGGGTCAGGTGGTGAAAGTTACCTACAGTGGGGAAATCACTGGGTCATATGTTACATACCGATGTGTCTGGTGATCCATCTGTGCAGGTTTCTCCTCTATCTTGCTGTGAAAAGCCGTTTGTTGTCATAGCTTTAGATTTTCCCCTCCCCATCTTTGGGATTGCTTCATCAAACACCATGAAGCTGCTTGTGGCATATTTTTTTCTGTTATGTGCATATTTTCATGGCTTTGGTGTCTTTCCAGTAGATTCACTTGGACAAGAATATGCAGAAGTAGCTATGTGGTAACCATGGCTAAGCTTTGTTACAGACTACAGAGTGATAACTCGAAGAAGACTCGAGTGGCCTAGTGTCCATAGAGTAGGGCAACCCTTTGAGGAAACAAGCTTTACTCTACGCAAACTCTTATATGACCTTCCTTCTTCTCATAAGAACCTTTCAGCTTATTTCATGTTAATTTAAAACCAATTGGTTTTTTCTTACTATGATGTTTTATCGGAGTTGGCATCACTAAGTTCTTATTAATTTCAACACTTTGGCTATGAAGGTTAGAAAGTTCGAAATCTTGTAGTAAGAGTTAAGCATTAACTACTTGTTTTTGCCGACTGAAAACTAACTTCAAAAACTGTATTATAAAATTCAATTGTACCATTGGTTCCCTCCTTTTTTTTTCTTTTTCTTTTGGGTACTAGGGGAATTGGGGGAAAGGGAGGAGGAATGGGGAAGATGGGGATTTGAATCTGGTGATGTGGGTGGAATAATTATATTCTGATTATCCGAGTCATACACTAAGGTCGGTTATTATTTATTTTTAATAATTAAATTAATCAAAATTATTATTATTTTTAAAATTGTTTTGGTGTCCTTAATAAATAAATTGGTGATTATAATTACATTCTAAAGATAACAACTAAGTGTTTATAACAATTTAAACTATGAAATTAAACAAAATTTCTTTACACATTAGAAAACCAAAATCAACAATCTTCTGCTTATAAACTACTCACCATTGAAATATACATCTTCAATTTTTTGGTTGTAACTACTTATATTTAAAAGAAAAGCTTACAAAAAAGTTTTTACCTATTTTATAATAAGAGATAATTTTTATTCATCCAATAATTTTATTTTATTGATATTTCATAAAATTCAAACTTAAAATCTTTTATTTTTAAAAAGAAATTAGCAAGAACATACCATTGTTATATGCTTTTAAAGTTTTTAAATATCAACAAAAGATTAGCTAAATTAGTACTTATTAATTTAAAATCTTGATTTAAGATTAAGATAAAAAATTTAAAGCTCCATACTATCAAGGAAAAAATTGTTTTTAAAAGAAAACTTTTTAGACCAAAGTGATAATAAGTGAAAATTTAATGGACTAAATATTAAAAAAGCCATTTTCTTCTATTCGTTGCTTTCCATTTGGCCTGCAAATCGTCTTCTTCAGCTGCACTCAAACAAAAGCCACTCAACCGCTACTTATTTTCAAAACCCATATCAGCGAGCTCGCTTCCAACTCACTGAATCGACTCTCATCTAGGTCATCTTCTTTCTCTTATCTTGCTTCCGTGGTTCCTTAAACTCAATCCTCAACCATCCA